ATGATCACTCTGTGTGTATGAGTGTGCATACCTAGGGCACCGGCAGGCTAGTTTGTGGATTTTTACGCATGTGATCCATTTAATATCACCAGGTTGCCAACGTGCTTGCCTTGAGCGATGGCCCTTATTTATGAAGACATTTACAACCTTCCCAAAGAGCAAAGAAAAATGTAAGGGCCCAAGCATGTACATTTGCTTATTAAGTAAGCGTCCGAGTGGCTCGTTTGTCAAGCTGGTGTTTTTTTTATTCTCACTCACCCCACGATTGCCCGCGTTTGTTCTCCCATGCTCGCGCTTCCCTCCCACCACTCCACCTGCCACCACTGGGCTCAGGGTCAGGTACATTCGTCTCGTCGTTTCTGGCCACGTGGGTCCGACCACAGCATCGGGAGAGCGTGGGCCATGGTCTCCACGTGTTTGGTTCAGGAGGTATCCGATCAAAAAATCCTTGCAGTGGCATGCAGCTGACTGAGATGCATCACTCGTGGAGGCAAGGCTTGGTGGATCACACACATTTGGGATAAACTCCCAAGGCTGTTGAGCTGCGAGGTGGCCAGGAGATGTCAGTGCAGCAAGTGGATTTGAGTTGTTGATCGGCGCGGAGGTTTGAATGTTATGCCGCTCGCATGCGTGTGCTTTCTACGGCTACACTGGTTTCTTCCCACCTCCCGATCACGCATTCATGGAATTGGTCAAACCCCTCAGGACACTTCCTGAATCCATCTTTTAATACACCATGGGGATTTCCTGGATAAGCAATGGGAAATATTATTATAATCTTGTTGTAGAATTGAGTCTGAATTTAGGGATCATTGGTATGGGTTATACTTGAGTAATGGTTGGTGTTAAGCTATGGATGGTCGTATAGGTTAGAATCGGTGGTTTTGTTACTTAATAATTGTTTCGGTATTGTGTTCGGTGGTAGTGTTAGAGATATGAGTCGGGGTTAGTGTTAAGGGATTAAATTTAAGGCTTAGAGGCTAGTCATGTCATAGTCAAGGTGCCTTCCTGCTGAATAGAACATGGAGCGCTGTAAATCCCCATTGGTGGCCCTGAGCCAGTGGTGACATTTCCATATTCCTATGACAGAGCACAGGCTATCCAGAGTACCACCACTGTTGACTTCCCATAAAGCGGTTATGATTTTATCAACCCTAAATGGATGATGCTCTGAATCAGCCCAAACCAAGATTTGAACGCACACCCTTTCAAAGGCTGGTGCTCTAACAACCATAACCGCAAACAGATGTACTACGAGAGCTACTGTTTCACCCCACCAAAGACCACATGGGGATAAGCCGCAAAGAGAGAGAGATACAGGGAAGGAGCTCAGTGGGTCTTTAGTGATTGGTCACATGGAGTGAATGTAGTTTGCATTTATGGCCATACTGCCAGGACATATCACTAAGAATGGTAATGGACACATGCTTGCGTGTGGTTGTGTGTCTTTTGTTCATGTGTTCCTGCACGTGTGTGTGTATGCGAGTGGATGCTTCCAAATCCTACCGTTTCAAACTGAAAGGTATCGTGGGGGTGGGGGGGGGGGAGAATTTATATAATTGAATTGAGACTGTCACTACTGAGAAACAGGCTCGCTCTGATGCATTAGGCTGTGGTTCAGTATTTAAAGTCAAGCAGACAGGAGGATGAGAGTGAGGTGGAGGAGAGGAAGGATGTGGGGAGTGGAGGAACCTAAGCAATTATTGGAGTGAAAACCAAGGCAGGCTTGGAACAATTCTACCGCAACACTTTCGACTGGATTAACGTAGTTTAGTGTTGCTGGAACGGTAGACTTAGTTTAATCCAATCTTTCACGTCTTGATTTAAGGGGAGGGGAGTCGTGGCTCAGCGCTTGGTGTACTGCGTTCTGGCTTGAGTTCGATTCCCGGCCACGGCTAACATCCGTGGCGAACGGAATGTGAACCTGTCCTGGCAGGATCCCCGGTGGGCCCGATCCTTCACTAACCTGCACTGACCAGCATGGTGAAGTATGGACAATAAAATGTTAACGATTCAGGATCAGGATTCAATTCTCAAACTTGTTTTCTTTGTCGAAGCTATAGAATCTGCAGTGGTGTCAATCTGTAAAATATATATTTACTTAAATTATACACGCCCAAACAAATAGAAAGTGCTTATATGCCCAATGTTATGCCTGTGCTGGGAGCATTTGACATTAATAGATAAAATTGTACATTTCTCGTACTAACTCTGTCCACTACTGGTGATGATTGGCAGTCACATAATCGGACGAACCAACCTCCCTCCGTTGTATTATCCAGATTGCCTGCTGCTGCTGCTGGTTTACATCCTACACTGGCATTTCAATAGGAGCCGTTATTTATTTATATATTACACATTACTGCGGAAGCTGTTGTTCCCAAACCACTCTGTGCCGCCCTTCACCCCCACCAACCCGAGCGTCGGTACCAATGTTTTAATGTCTTGCCGTCCGGCCTGTCATTCCGGTCGGTATTATTTATTCGTCTTGCTGTGGCTCCTGCGGCCACAAAGAACTGCTCCTGATTCGGCGATCGATGCATAGCAAAGTGCTTTAGCAATCAGTCTTGCGCAATGTTGGAGGGGGGCGGGAGTTTTATGGGAGAGAGGGGGGGAGGGTGAGAGGACGGGGGGGGGGGGGCAGGGTGAGAGAGATAGGACAGAAGCCCCCCACCCTCGACTAGCCTTGCCACTTTTGTACTAATCGCCTGCATACACTTACTTGTAATGAATAAAGTTTTCATTCTTTTCGAGATGGGTGTAGCGGTGGTGGTAGTGTTGTTGGCCACACCGCGCCATAAAGCCGCCAACCTGAGTTCAATTCCCAGCAACGGCTATCATCGGCGGCAAGTGATATCTGGACCAGTCCTTGATCCAGCCCCACACCGACTGAGTTAAATCTTCCGGCGTGGGCAGGCGTCTTCGTCCAGCAGTGGATTGACTCAGGGGCCCCAAATCATTATATTACGCATCACAACTATTTCCAATCAATCGGGTTTGCGCTTTTAACTGAATTCATTCTTTTGCTCAGTCTAAATTGAAATATATTTAATCATTGCACTTTATCCTAGCCTAGTTTTAATCTTGTTTATAAAAATTTTTATTGATTTCATACGAGTATTTTCGAATGTAAATGTTTTTTTTTCTGAAATCATATCCACCTTAAGAAAATTATTTATTGCGTCTTCCATGTTTGTTATATTTTCCTACCATTTACAGATGTTTTTGTTCTCTACCTGCTCTTGCGTTTGGTAGCTCTTATAACACAGACTCGTATTTTCAACGGGCATCACATCCTATTCGTGCGCTGTGGTGTGACTAAAACTGCACCCGGTCACATTTGTCTCCCCAACTTGGATGTTGACATACTGCACCAGGTACTCATCTCAGGCTGAGTCGACCTCGTGGAGGCCCCAGAAATCAGTTAAAATATTCGCCACTGATGTTCACCATTGATTGGATCGATCGATGGTGATCGTAGCACGGCGCGCAAATCGCTGTGCCACTACTCCACCCAATGTGTTACACGTAACGTGCGCACGCACATTCGTGAGCACAGCCACATACGCACTCAGGGACACACGGACATTATAGGAGCAGAGCGGAGGAGGAGGCAGAGGAGGAGGGGGGGGTTTGGTGGCAGACGCCAGGGGCTGCTCCACGCAGCGCGCGGGAAGCAAATGAAATTAAATGGAGCCGTAATGGGATGATGGTAAAATCGATGTGTTTGTCCCGGGCTCTCACGCCACTCTCGAAATTGCCTTCCTCTGTGCCCCATCCCCTCTTCTGCCCTGCCACATACTCGCACTCTTTATCTGTCTCCGTGTCTGTCTAACTCTCTGTCTGTCTGGTTATCTGCCAATTTATCTGTTTATCCCTCTATCAATCTGTCTTTCTCTTTGTCTGTATATCTTTATGTTTGTCTCACTTTGTCCTATGGTACTCTGTATATACAATGTACGTCTGTCAGTTTATCGGTGCCTAGCTAATGACTCTGCCTTAATCTGCCTATCTGCATTGGAAATTTACTCAATCCATGATCGGTAAAATAGATACCTCTGTAACTTTTCTGAGGATGGGGCTGGTCTCTGTCATAAGAATGTGGAACTTCCACGACTGGCCTCGTGCTATCGGTGGAGATGTTTGGTTTATATATTTTATTTCTTTCTCACTATTCTATGGTCAAGAAAGGAGTGGCAGGCAAGGAATGAACGCCTCCGAAAGGGCATTCGCTGAGGAGATGGAACGATGAAATCAGCTCGTGTGTGTGGATGCTATGGGTGGATTGTGACATCACAGGATTTTGGGAGATGGCATCTTGGGGCGGCCTTCATCCAGCAGTGGATTGACCATGGCTATTGATGATGACTATTGCTTGCTTTTCAAGAATGCATTTTGTATTCTATCATATCTTTACAATCCAATACGTAACCCTTTCCATCTCCCCTACACTATGATTTGTTCATTTTGAAGCTAGATCCTAAGTAAGCTCGTACACTTACCTTGCACTTTTGATGTTGGTTTATAATATCCCAAATTTTTACCATGTTACCCTGTAGGTTCACTAGTCCGGATCGCCACAAACATAAAGAGAAATGTCCCCTGTGTAGCCTTTAACAGACTGTTGGGCCAAGTGATGTTAGCAGGTACCTAATGAAGGCCAGTATGGCACACAAGGGGATGGGTGGCCAACACGGTGTTCTGCCACCTTTGTCTCCCCTGTGCTGATGTTTGCACACCACACCAGGAATTTGTTTGAGGCTAAGCCGAGCTTGGGGAGGCCCAGAACCGGTTCAGATAATCGTCACTGGTGTTGGCCGTGAGTGAGAATCGAACTCCGGTTGCCGGATGCGTAGTGAAGTGCGCTAACCACTACACTACCGCTCCCCACACACACATACGGCCACAACCCCACAACCGGTCGGAGACCAAACCACACACCCATCCAATGTTTTCGGATATTGAACCCTCCACTCTCTGTTTCTGGTGTCACTCAACAGGAAAGGAATGCAGCTGAGCTGCTGCATACGGTCGTTCCTCGGATGGCACGCCTGGCTCTGACACTGCCGACTCTCTGCACCATGGTAAGATGCCTGCACTCTTCCCACTGTTCCAGCCGCTGCGTCCGTCACAAACCATCACAAAGCACCGGTCACTCCAGTCTATGGGCATCTAAACCTGGTCATACCACTGAACCAGTTCAACTGGGATCCTAGGTTAATTTTGGCTGGGTGACGATTTATCTGCCTGTTTAAATATTACATTGGGCAGTGATCACAAGTTGTTTGGTCGCCCTTAGCTCAGTGTTTCCCCCGATTTTTCTTGTCGTGTACCCCCCACCAAACCTGTCATGTGTCCACATACTTATATTGTAACAAGCCAGGTGGCGTGAGTCGGATTTATAAAAAAAATGTATACTTGAATGCTTACATCTTTAACATTGACTACCGTTTTAATTACATGTGCGTGCAATTAACACCATATACATTTAGTTACGATTTTATATTTCCACTTTAATAGCACGTAAAAAAAATCAACTGCTCCTGAGTTGCTCGCCATCACCTCGAAACACAGGGAGAAGGCCGCGGTTCGCTGGATGTGAAATCATCAAGTCTTTGAAGATAACACACCGCCTTCCCTGTTAGAATATAAAGCCTGGAAAGATTGTGTGATTGTCTTGAAAAGATTGTTGAGTTTATACGTAGAATTAAAGTTAAGTAAATGCGAGAACCGTGAGAGGGAGCACAAGTCGAGCAAGTGGGTGGCCAAGTGCCGGGGTTCCCCGATTACCGTAAACAGATGAGTATATCGCTTTAGAAGTTAGATGCTTTTAGTAATCTGAACAGGTAATCAATAGAATAATTGGTTCCTTAAATAATTGGATAACCCGCTGTACAAATGCCTCTTGGGTTTTAAGCCAGGCGGTGGTGGCTATGATGCACGTGGCATGTAACACAGCGCTGCAGAGGTAGCGAGGAATGGTGGATCACCGCACAAATGTGGTGAAGCTCCCTTCCCATGGGTGCCGGGGCGGAGCCATACCCTGGCTCGCCAGGAGGAGGCGGTCTAGAAAGTGTACTAATCGCCATCTGTTTCCATCTGTTTAGGGATAATGTTTCCCCCTCATGCGCGCGTGGGTTCCCTCCGTGTGTTTCGGTTTCCTCCCACTTGAATAAACACTAATTTTGTGAGAACATAATATAAAATCCCAATGTAGTGGGACCTTCCTGAAAAAGTCGTTGGATAAATATTATCAAAAGGTGTAAGACTGACACTTTGTTTATTTCAAGGCTTGTGAAGTTAACATTGCCCCTTAACTGCAATTGAAACAACACATTTTCTGTGCTACCACCACTTTTACAAAGCACAAAATGGTTAAACTGGCAGCTCCGTTGTCCCCCAGGGTAGGGAAAGGTGACTTCTCCGCCCGTGCCTGGGCCAATGTGCACTCCGTACAGCGTGATTTGTGAGCGACGTCCCGCGTTTTGACACAGTCTCGTTTTGACGGTGGCACTTTTAAAAAGTTAATGGCCACCTTGTCCAAGTGTCGGTAAATCATTGTGATTGATTGTGGGCACGTTTCACAGTATTTAGCATTTCTTACCTGCCCTCTGTTTTTTTTAGTGTTGCAAGAACCCAGGCTGTGTTGGTGCTCACGTTAAAAGTGGTTGATGTTTTTTTTATCTAATGTGAAATCACCTTATCAATCATTCAGTCACTGTATTTATGATCCAAAGTGACAGCCCATTGAGACTCGGCATTGTCTTGCAAGGCAGACCTGCAATTAAACTAATTGGGGAATACAAAAACAACACGGGAGTACGTAGTGAAAATAGTGATTCCCTCCACACACAACACGTGAGGCTGTGTTGCTGGCTCAATCGAAATTCCTAATTTCTCTGATAATTTTAATGCAATTTGCAACGCGTACAATATTTTACGGATATAAATGACCATGACTCTTGAGGCTCAGTGTGGCTCGAAAGCCGGGTGGAAGAAGTTGGGGCCTTTCAGCGTCTATTAGAAATCGGTACCGATTGAGTGCTGTTCGAATGTGCAGCAGTGGGAAAGTGATGGCCGCGTTCGAGACGGCGGGGGCTGCCACGGAGAAACGACGCCCGCCAGTGACCATGGTCCTGCTGCCCGGTGTAGAGAGGAGGTGGGGGGGGGTTGTGAGTCGCACTGTGGAGAGTTCTGCCGGGAGTTGTATGGCAAGGCGACTTTTTGGGTGCATTGGTGGCTAGATATTAACTTCGTCGCCTGGTGTGCAGGAGGTCATGGGTTCGATCCCGAGCATGGCGATGCCTGTATATTTGGAGTTTGCGTGTCTCTCTCCTCGTGGCCGCGTGGATTTTTCTCCAAGTGCTCCGGTTTTTCCCTCCACATTTAAGAACATGCGTTTAGAATATTTGGCTGCTATCAATTTTTCCACATGATAAGCCACTTCGTTGAGCACTCATTTGTGGCCAAGTTGGTTCTGAAAAAGACCTACATAGCTCAGTGAGCCTTAACTGGTAAAACAAGAATCGTTGAGTTTAGAGATACGCTGGACGATCATCCAGTCTTTCCATAGGATGACCACAATATTGTTTCCAATTTATATACCCTTGTGGATGATGAGTCGAGTTGATTCCTCAACAAGAGTTGAACTCCCCAACCTTCCGATCGTGCATTAAACTCTCTGCTATCCTCGAAGTGCCATCTGAACGGATTGTAAGTGCTAATAGTTAATTAATAATGTATGAAAACTGCCCGATTGCTAATTTTTTTATATATATTTGTTTTGATATTTTTCACTTCAACAGGTGAGAGCCTGGTTAATAGATTGCTTATTTTAAAAGGGGAACATGGTCCCATGTAAGGGCTTTTTTTTTCCCTTCACATTTGTAATGTGGGTTGTAAAAGCAGCACCCAATTACATTAAACATGTGCAACAACACAAGTGAAATATTGTGTTGTGAAATAGCAACACATTTAAAGTATATGAAGTCCACAGTCATGCATAAAAAAATACACATGCTATTTAAATGTCCAAATATACAACAAATGATTAAAAAAAAATTAATTATGCTGCACCAACGTTAGGTTTGTGCCACATAGGGCAGTGCGCTTGTCCAACGCTGTCTCTTCCACGAGCGGAAATTCCCTATCAATTTGGCCAAGGAAAATGTATTCACATGATATATCTCCTGTTGACTTCCTTCACAGCAACACACGTCCCAGATGGGTGCAATTTCACTCGAACTGAACATTTTAAGAAAATTGCCACGTGTATTATAATATCACGGTAAAAAATGTCAAGTAACAATTAATCCTCATTTCAACTTGTAGCGCGGCACCGCCGCACAATTTTCTCTCGCTCTCGTAGAGAGAGAACGACTCGGGAGTTACGAGGAACCACGGACAAATGGGAAAGGCAGCTGCACAGTGAGCCAGTGCCAAATTCCCACCCAATCTCTGCGGTCCTCTATTTGTAAAGGTGTTTTCAGCCAATTGATGATTGTTTACATGTGGGTGGAAACTTGAGTAGCCGGATCAAACCCCACGTGGTCGCTTGGGGGTGTGACACTCTTAAGCCGTAGAGTTGGAACAGGTGGAGTCCACATTTTCTGTACTGCCTTCTCCTGGCGAGCCAGGATATGGCATTTCCTCAACCCTCGCGGGAAGGGAGTTTCACAACTTTGTATGCAATCCACCAACCCTCGCCTCCACAGCGCTGGATTTACAGGCGAGCGCCATCATAAATGTATGAATTGATGCTTTTTTTAATAATTTAAAGAAGCATTGAAATTAAAAAAATCTCAATGGATATCAATTGTTTATAATTATGTTCTTGTACAAGAACATTTTGTAAACAAAAATTATACAGTTTTTGAATTACAAATGTATCATTTAGGGCTTTTGGCTGACTCATAATGTTTAACTTTAGGGAATTGTGTCATGGGGTCTTTAATATAAAAATATATCAAAGCTGAAATGCTGACTTGTATTAACTTTTCCATTCGGAAAAAAAACTTCCGTTTGCCATTTCCAATTTTGCATTATTAAAAACAATGTTCAATGATTGTGATTATTCATACATTGATGGGTGTACATTTAACATGTGTAACTAAATGAGCTTTTCTGACCTCACTTAATCAAGTTGGCACGAAAGCACAGCAAACAGAATGCAAAATACAATATACGTATATATATGTGTATGTAAAAAAAATAACCAATTTCTTTTTGTATTTCCATTCGGTCAGCTTTTTCTTTTCGACAGACTACTCAATCAATTACGAGGCCCCGTGCAGCCCACTCACTTGATTAAATTTGACGCAATGTAATTAGCCAACCAGTTGAGGCTGCCTGTCATTGGCGTGCCCGCACGACGTGACCGTGCGGGTCTTTTTGGGCGCGTGGTCAGCAAATGCCACGCGCACCCCTGGAACGGACGCAGAGATAACCGCCCTCCATCCTTTTTGAGGAGCGGCGGTGGCACAGAGAGCACTGCACCACGGCCATGGATGACATCGGTGGCGAGTGATATCAAAACCTGTGCTGGGACTCCCCTAGGTTGAGTCGACTATAAATTCGGACCTTGGTGCAGTGTGCGTGTCTATGCGGTGTGGGTCCTGGCCATGCCATCTCCTCGTGTGCCATCCTGACCTTAATAGGTGCTCTCTAACAACGCTTGTCCCTCCGGTCTATAAGTGTCGGTGTATGGCTATGCCCAACTTCCCCGGTTATTTGATGAATTATGATTGTTCGTTGTGAATCGATTTATAAACATTGTGGTGAATATACTGGCCATTATATGAAATAGAACTTGCCCCAGTATATGAACTGCCGCCCCAGAGAGATAGAATCATGATAAGTGTGTACTGCTCTCGACATTTCTTTATGTGCAGCAAACCGGTGTCAACCACATTTTCCGGGGGGTTTTCCTGAGGTTCCCGGAAATGCAAAAAATATGATTTGAACATGGCTCATATGTATGTATCGGTGTGCTTGTACCGTGTATGTATGTGGAGCTCAGTGCCTGTCAAATTTTTGTGTTTGTAGTTGGGAGCTGATGTCTGTATGTGGTCTAGAACCCAGTTGT